ATAACGAACAAACACAATTTAGTAAGAGCTCCAAAGGGCAAGAAATTGTGGAGAGCCATCATCATCCACGTCTTTAATGGGCCCAGCACGTAGAAGAAGAAGAAGAAGAAGAAGAAGAAGAAGAAGTTTGTGTAAATGATTGGATGAACAGGAAATAGGAGAAATGGCGGAAAGACACAATTTACTAAGAGCTTCAAAGGAGAGGAATTTGAGGAGAACTATGAGCACCTACGCCCTGAAGAGACACGACACCACCCTACTACTACTACTACTACTACTACTACTAATAATAATTATTATTATCATAATAATAATAATAATAATGTTAGGTTGGTGCAAAAATAACGACGTAATAATGTCGTTCTTTGACGTATTTTTAACGTCAAAAACGACATTATTACGTCATTATTTTTGCACCAACCTAATAATAATAATAATAATAATAATAATAATAATAATAAGAAGAAGAAGAAGAAGAAGAAGAATCATGGCGCGTCACTTCAAGTGCACACTTTCTTGCTGGTTGTTTTTATTTTCTGTGAACCCCATACTTCGTCCACTTCACACACACACACTAAACCGACATAACCTGATTCAGTGGTGGGGTCAAGTAAATAGCGGCGGTATATCGACCGAAAAGTTGTGAAACGTCAACTCAAACAAGGAAATTGGTTCGAATGATTCAATGAAAAATAGTAAACATATCCTGTCTAAGAAAATGACACGGGAGTATGTTCAAGGAGCAAATTGGCCCAAATTTTAAAGAAATGCTCTGTACAATAATATCAGCACCGTTGAATGAAGATTCTGGTGTACATCGGCTGAAATATTGTAATAATTACAACAAAACTCGAAAACTCCTTCGAAAGAATCAATGTATAATTGTAAAAGCGTTTCTGTTTCAGAATTCGGACAGAATGAAGATGATAGTGTACAACGACCGAAAAGTTGTAATAAATCAATAAGAAAATTAAAATAAACAAAATTAAAAAAAAAAAACAACGAATAAATAAATAAATTTGAGTGACAACACAACACTAATTTCAACTCGGAACTAATTTCAACTCGGAACTAATTTCATCTCGGAATTAATTTCAACTCGGAACTAATTTCAACTCGGAATTAATTTCAACTTGGAATTAATTTCAACTCGATTTAAAATCAAAGTTATCAATTTCGGTGAATTCCTAAACAAAATGCAATGTTGGTGTTAATTTTTTAATTTAATATTAAAAATCCTTAGTAGATAATTCAAAATTCATCTTTTCTCAACTTGCATTTTTTTTTGTTGCAGATGAATAAAGTGATATTTATTTATTTATTTTTATTCATTTAAATCTGATCCAATAAAAATGCAATGTTCTTTGAAGCAATATCTGTAAACTGCTTAGCTGTTTTTTTTTTGTTTTTTTTTTTTGTAAAAAAGAAACTCTCGTTCAAAAGAAGCCGTTGTTGATCAAAATTTAAGAAAATCAAGAAGTTAAATTTGAAATTAGTTCCGAGTTGAAATTAATTCTGCATCGCATAAATTTATCCGAGTGAAGGAGTCTATTATAGTAGGAATATATGTGCTAGAAATGTATGCGAAATGAATGTCGTACCTAGGCTAAAACATTGTGGTAACGACAACAAAAAGAGGAGAGTTGTTTGAAAGAATCAATGTCTAATAGTAAGAGCATTTCCACTTTGGAAATCCGACAGAAAGAAGACGACAGAAAGAAATGTGAAAAGCACAGGCTTATATAAAGAAAGAGAGAAAATGAGAGAAACAAAGACAAACACAGAAAAAAGAAGGGAGGTTTAATATATAGAAAGAGAGAGAAAAAAAAAGAAAAATAAAGAGAGAAAGGGGGAGATTGGTCCATGATACTGGACAGCTAAAAACAACTGTGACATATGTATGATGTTTGGGACAAGAGAGGGTTTGAACAGCTTTTTCTTCCACTACGTAGAACCGGATAGAAATCAAGGAAGCAGATTGACTTGGATTGAAGGACGGCAAGCGAGGAGAAAGCGAAGGTAGTCTTGGTGGCTGGGAGGAATGAAGGCGTGGCATGTTCGCATTGGGTTGGGCGGGGCAGGTAGAGAGGTGGACAGGAAGCGGCTGGAAAGACACCCGGCATGAAGCAGGCTAGCAAGTTGTGACACAAGGACAAAATTTACATTTATAGTTGTTTGTCCTTTTTCCTAATCTCTGACTCATCATGGATCCATGAAGACTTTCGATTCTGCATTCGACACTTCACATCTCTTCCATCTTCTAACATCCCTTCTTTTACTCCTCCCCCTCCTCCTCCTTCTTCTTCTTCTTCTTCTGATGCCTCGTCTATATTCCTCTCCCTTCTTTCTCCTGCTACACTTTCTTTCTCTTCTTCTGTGTTCCTATTTATTTCTTTTCTTTCCTTCTCCTCTTCCTCCCCTTCACCTCCTCTTGCCCTTTCTTCTTCTCTTCGTTTTCCCACCTCTTCCTTATTTTTCGTTTATATCCCTCTTCCTTTTTTTCTCCAGCGACTATTTCTTTTTCTTGCTCTGTCTTCCTCCTTAATTCTTTTTTCTTCTCCTCTTCCTCCTCCTCCTTCTTTTTCTTCTTACCTTCTTTTTCCTCCTCCTTTTCGCACCTCTTTCTTATTCCTCGGTTATATTTCTTCTTCTCCTTTCTCCTTCTACTACTTCTTTCCCTCCCTCTGTTTGCCTCCTTATTTCTTTTCTTTTCTCCTCCTCTGCTCCTCTTTCTTCTTCTTTTGCTCCTCCTCCTTCCACTACTTTCTTATTTCTCCTTTTATTTTACATTTTTCTTTCTCCTTCTTTTTATTCCTCGTTATTTTTTATTTCTTTTTCTTCCATCTTCTTCTCTTTTTCTTCTTCAATTTTCTTCTTCTTCTTCCTCTTTTTCGTCTTTTCTGATTTCTCCTTCCTTTTTAATTATCTTCCTTTTCTTTCTTCTTCCCCTTTTCTCCCCCTACTTCCTTTTTATTCCTTCTTTTTCCTTCCTGTTTCTTATTTATGTCCCTCTTCCTCTATCTGTCGTCTTCCTTTTTCATTCTCCTTATTTCTCTCCCTTGTTTTTCTTCCTCTTTATTTCTCTTCTTCTTCCTCCTCCAGCATTTTCCTTTTTTTTACTTCTTTCTTCATCTTTCCTATTTTTGATTTTCATTCTCTTCCTCTTCTTTCTCTCTTTTTCCGTTTCTTCTTCTTGTTCCCTTTCTCCTTCTCCTCTCTTTTCTAGTCCCCCACTATTTCTCATTCCTTCCACTTTTCATATCCCCTCTTGCTCCTCTCGTTCCACACTCCCCTTTCCCCCTCCCCTTATTCTTATCCTCTCTTACCTCCCCCTCCCTCTCTCTAGCATTTCCTTGCTTCCATTTTCAAGTCGACTCTCCCGTTTTCAATACTGCTCATAGTTTTCTATCTGAAAGCTAATTTAAAAGGTCAAAATGTCTATTTACTGATTTCACGGTGAATAACAAACGGCTAAAAAGTTTTCATTTCTTTCTTCTTATGTACCATGTCCCTTTAGGACGTAGGCGATCATGGCTCTCCACTTCCCCCTATCCCTTGTAGCTTTCAGTTTTGTCCCTTTGCCACCTCCCCCAGACCTTGTTCTGTCGTCCACTTGCTTAAGCCCACCAGGCATATCATGCGTTGCTTTCCCTTCTCTCTCTCCTTCTATTCGACCTGTGAGTATCAGATTTTCCAAGCCCCCCTTTCTCATTACCTGTCCCAGAAATTTCATATACCTCTTCTTGATGTTAAGTATAAGCTTCCTCCTTGTTTGCATCGTCTCCAAAACCTCATCATTGCTCACACGCTCGGTCCATGGTATCCTTAGCATCCATCTGTAGAACCATACCTCCATTGCCTCGAGTCCCTTATTCATCTTTGAGGAGACCGTCCAACATTCGATGCCGTAAAGGAGGACAGATATCACGTAGCAGCTCAGTACTCTTTTCTTTATTACCAAATCCTCCTGTCTTGCAATACTCTACCCAGCTTTTGGAACGCATCCTTGGCCATCTCAATACGTCGCATTTAACGTCCTCTGTGAAAAGGCTTCCTAGATATTTAAACTTCCACACCTGCTTGATTTTAGTATCTCTGATCTGCAAATTGCATTTCGGGTTCATCCTTTTACTGATGACCATGCATTCTGTCTTCTTGTAGTTTATGCTTAGTCCCTTCTTCTCGCTCTCCTTCACTACCTTCTATAGGGGGTTTTATAATTTCATTTCCGTGTCTGCTATCAGTACTGTGTCATCTGCGTATCTTATGTTGTTAAGATTGTGGCCTCCAATGCTAAATTCCGGTAGGATTTCCAATTCTCTGAGAATTGCCTCAGTCTGCAGCTGTCTACCAGGAGTTCTCAACCAGGAGAACGCCCCCCCCCCAGTGGCGAATTTTAGGGTTTCAGCGGGCGGGGACAACTTTTACTTTTTAACAAGTTCTTCGTTGACTGTAATCTTCATCAGAATAAAATAAATTTAAATACTCTGATCTTTGACTGTAATCTTCATCAGAATAAAATAAATTTAAATACTCTGATCTTTGACTGTAATCTTCATCAGAATAAAATAAATTTAAATACTCTGATCTTTGACTGTAATCTTCATCAGAATAAAATAAATTTAAAATAATCTTCATCAGAATAAAATAAATTTAAATACTCTGATCTTTGACTGTAATCTTCATCAGAATCAGAATAAAAATAAATTTAAAATAAATTTAAATACTCTGATCTTTGACTGTAATCTTCATCAGAATAAAATAAATTTAAATACTCTGATCTTTGACTGTAATCTTCATCAGAATAAAATAAATTTAAATACTCTGATCTTTGACTGTAATCTTCATCAGAATAAAATAAATTTAAATACTCTGATCTTTGACTGTAATCTTCATCAGAATAAAATAAATTTAAATACTCTGATCTTTGACTGTAATCTTCATCAGAATAAAATAAATTTAAATACTCTGATCTTTGACTGTAATCTTCATCAGAATAAAATAAATTTAAATACTCTGATCTTTGACTGTAATCTTCATCAGAATAAAATAAATTTAAATACTCTGATCTTTGACTGTAATCTTCATCAGAATAAAATAAATTTAAATACTCTGATCTTTTATTGAACTTTTTATTCATTGGCACTGTATTGAACATTTTGTCTATTGAAATAAGTTTCAGTTTATTTATATAATAATTAGTTTTGAATGAAAATTACTGTACATGTATTCAAGTTTAAAAATCCATCAATATTTGCTATTAAATTTGTAAAACTCCTCTATAAAAATAATACAAGTGAATGTTTAAGGTACATTTATGAATACACTCCAACGGGTGCGCAGGATCGCCTCATCCGTCGTGTTATGACTTGGGGTCATGACAAGTTTCGGATCTTTCAACATCATACTTGTTCACCCAAGAGATCTTACCGAAACCTATTCCGGCAGGCGATCCTGAAGCAAAAAAAAAAAAAAAAAAATCCACAAAGCACACAACAACGGTTTACTTATTATTGTAATATAAAACAATTGTGACACATGGCCGAAACGGAAGTGAGACGTGGCTGATTTCCGTTAACTCTCCTAGTCCTAGTTAATCACGATCAAGCTCCCAACAACGGACATGTAAAGAACTGCTACTGCTGATCTTGAAATAGCAAGCGACCAATCAGAAACGACCTACGTCACTTCATCCTCAGCCAAGACAAGACAAAAAAGAGAACAAACTGAATGCTCGTCTTTTTCCCTCTTAGGGCCCACACATGGAAAGACCCCACGTTCTCACCGAACACTGCTTGGCATAACAGGTAAGTAATTTTTATTGGTCGCCAAAAAAAAACCCCAAAAAAAAAAAACCTTCATACACATTCGTTGGTCATAGGAATTATGATCAAAAACGTTTCTTGCTTTTAATGTTAATAAGAATAAAGATGAAAATAAATGTAATGCTAATAAAAAATATATACTAATAATTTGTTATGAATACACTCCAAAGGGTGCGCAAGATCGCTTCATCAGTGATGTTATGACTTAGGCTCATGACAAGTTTCAACATCATACCTGTTCACCCAAGAGACCCTACCGAAACTATACCTATTCTGGCAGGCAATCCTGAAGCAAAAAATCCACAAAGCACACAACAACGGACATATAAAGAACAACCACTGCTGATCTTGAAATAGCAATCGACCAATCAGAAACGCCCTGCGTCACTTCCTCCTCACTACTAATATAGAAAAGAATGAAGATTTTCAATAATATATGCAAATTATTTGAAATGCACCATTTGAGATGGACAATCTTGGAAAAAAGATGACTGACATTCAGGCATATGCTGAAACGGGTGCATTGGGCAAAGAAAGGTGGTGAATCAGTGTTATCTAATGAAGCATGATCGATGTCCTCGTAGCGTAGCGTTTATCGACGCCAAAAGTAGGGTCAGCGAATGTTTAAATACACTTTCAAACAAATCCCTTCGGAAACGGTATGACTCCATCTCTTTTATTTTTCCGAGTTATACGTTCAAAATCATGGCAGACTGGATTTCTTTTTGCTTCTCATCTTCCTTAAAACTTCTTCGTTGTTGACATGTTCAGTCCATGGTATTCTCAGCATCATTCTGTACAGCCACATTTCAGTCATTTCAAGTCACATCTTTATCACTAAGGAAATTATTTAGCATTCACTTCCATATAGGAGGATGTATATAGTGTAGGAGTTCAGTACCCTTTTCTTTAAAGGGCGTTGAAATTTTTCTTATCTTTTAATATTTTGCTTAGTTTCTGGAAATCATCTTTCATTAATCCTATGTACTTTCGGAATTCTGTGTCATATTTTCCATAGTCAATTCGACATCCGCACACTCCTTGGGCTATCTTTTTTGCTAACGACCACACATTTTAGTTTTTCACGGTTAATAGTTAGTCGGGGAAAAATCTGCCTCGTCAGTCTTGTATCGAAAGATATATGATCGCCAGTCCGTGTATCACGCATGCTACATAACTGACTGAATGACACTTGGGAAAGGTATGAATCCTCTTCTTCCCCCACTCCAGCTATGGGTAAATAGCAAGACAGACCGGGTTCTATAGCCTTGGATGGCAACTGGTTTATCGCAGAAAGA